CACTATATATTTGACCCCTTTACCCTCTTCTACCATCCCTCTGGTAACCACTAATCTGTTGTCTGTGTGTATGAGTTTTTTATTTTTTTTATTTGTTTGTCTTGCTCCTTTGTTGCTTTCAGTTTTATATCCCATATATGAGTGAAATCATATGGTTCTTGACCTTTTTCTATGTGAATCAGTCAGTACTTATTACTTACAGATATATTAGAGCCTTCACTCAACATATTTGTTGCTTATTTGAATCTCAGTAATAAAAGTGATCCTCTAAAATATTAGAGAGATAGGCAAATAAAATGAGAATCTCTTTAACACGTGATCCTGGCATAATCCTTATGCTGACTTCCCAACTTCAGTTTCAATTGTTGCCCTGCTCTAACCTTGAAGACAGACTTAGTACATCCTGATATTCACCAAAGAATATCCACTCCCATCAAAGGCATTAGTGGGCACTGTAGATATTACTGAAGGTTCAGTAGACAGGGCTTGACATTACACACTCCCCAAAATGCAATAATATAAATCAATTCCCACTTTTGGTGGGGATTCTTCAATGTCTCTATGGTATGCCACCACCAAGGGTCCCCATACCTGATAGTCTCTTGTGCAGCCCCTGTCAGTCTCTCCAACCCTGTCTTTCCCTATGCAAAGTGGCATCTGTCCTCTGCCAGAAACTTGGGCATCTGTCCACAGCTTTCATTTATTAAAGCAAGGCCAGTGTGGTTGAATGAACTCTAGAACCATATATGGCTTCTGGTAAAATTCCAGTTCACTATTTGCTATCTGTGTGATGTTGGCCAAGTTATTTAACCACTCTGTGACTCGCTTTCCTCATAATTTAAAATGGAGATTAAAGTAGAACCTACCCATAGAGCTGTTATAAGCGTTCAATGAGTAAATATGTATAAAACACTTAGAACAGTGCCCACCACATAGTGAACACTCAGTTACTATCATTATGTCAAATAATTTCTCTTCCAAAACTAATTTAAAAGTTTTCTTCTTATTTTTACATTGGTGAACAATTAAATTCTTTCATTACAGTTTTTACTTAGACATCTGTGGTTTCTTATTTGTATCTTTTTGTTCCTTCCTGCTTTTAAAGAAGAAATTTCAGTTTTGTTTTCTCCCAAATCCCAAGTATCCTTCCTCCCTAACTCACTTTCCCATTGCCACTCTGAAGATTTGCTGCTTGTTTGTTTTTTTGTTTGTTTTGGGTTTTTTGTTTTTTTTGGTAGTTACCCAGAAATTGACTTGGGGGTAGGGTTTTTTCTTAAATTTTTTTACCTTTTACCTTTTTGGTATATTGGTATTACTATACCAACTGTCTTGGGAAATAATAAAGTTAAGAGTCTGTTTCATAAGATTTTCACATCTTTTGGGTTGGTTAGTATTAAAAGTCCCATTTTGATGACTTCCTGGCACTGTGTGAATTTCTATAGAAATAAAAATAAATGTTAAAACTCTAGTTCTCTTTCACAAATTCTTGGCTGGTTCTTAAGAGTACTAGAGCACATCAATACATCTAACACTACCCAAACCTTTTCAACCATAAATTCATAACATTTACATAGTTATCAGTACTTCACACTTAGTTCTAAGAGCTCTGCCTGTGCCAGGAGTTTTTGAACAATATAATCCATAATTTTCACCAGCACTCTATTTTAACAGCAAAATATCCAGGCAGCCTTTTGAGACTATTATATTATAATATATATGCTTCAAGAAATCTCTGTATCTAAAATATCCACTACATGTTTTAATGTGTCTTCTGAAATGCCATACAAAATACACACATACATTTTTATCATATTTTATACCACTAGTTCTTATAATAATTTTTAGTTTGAAAGTAGCTTAAGACCAAAATTATTTTCTAATCATTCAACTTATTAGCTTCTATTTTCTAAATGTGTTACCTTGGACTGGTTTCTAAATCTCCCTGGGTCTAACCTTCTTCTTTTCACAAATTAAATGAGTTCTGATTCCAAACCTGCTCTATTAGTCTATATCTATGATTATAGATGAACCATTAGTAACAAATACTATATTTTAAAGAGAATCTCACTATTTATATCTTCTGCCAGAACTTACCTTTTAATATATATTTTTACTGAAATTTTCATTATTTTTATCAGATGTTACCAGTTATTGTAGCACAACTTGGAGCCCAGGTAAGATTATTTTGTAATATGATTTTTGTTTTAAATCATCTTAGTGTGAAATATTTAACCCTGCCTCAATTAACCAGAGAGTTGCCAAGTTTCTTATTTACTTTGCATTATATGGATACTGATAATAACAAGAACTAATACTTATTGAGAGCTTACTATGTGCCAGGCACTGTTCTAAGTACTTTATTATTTATTATGCACTATCTCATTTAATTTTCAAAACA